ATTGAATAACTATGAATTAAAACATGAAGAACAAATATTCAAATTGCAATATGAAAGGAGTTTGGAAAATGCAAATAAAAACTAACATGATAGACACATTTTATTCCAAAATGATAGCAATAGGGAAAAACTCCATTGTTCACTTATTCAAGCCTTCATCAATAGCATTTCTAAGTTAACCTTGTTTGAGTGAAACTGTAAGCGTTTTGAATCCTTCAAATCTTGAATCTTATGCTTCAAAGTTAGACACCTTTCTATATCATGACCAATGGTCCCATTATGATAATCACATTTGGCTTGTGGATCATACTAGAATGGCAAAGGATTAGGAGGCTTGTTTGTAGGGGTTAGAGTCAATTCCCTAAGTGCTACCGTTTGATTGAATATTTTTGAATATGATAATGGTAGGGGATCAAAATATCGATGCTTCTTTCCTTGATTTTGAACTGCTTCTCCAAGTTGATATGCAATAGAATTCATCATTTGTACTTCATTCTCTTTTTCGTCTTTCTCACTTTAGTTAACTCTTTCTATGTGAGTCAAATTATCCGACTCCAACAATTTACCATTTTGATATTGCTTAAGAATATCCTTTATAGCTTGGTAATCTAGGATAACACTAGATTTGATTCCTTCCTCAACTTGTTCTCCCATAACAACCAACTAAGCAAAAGTGTAATTCACATAAGTCATTAACTTTTGACGATATGGCCCTTTGGTTAACTTAATGAATAAATTACTCAATTCATGATTAGACAATGGCGGTTGAACTCGAGCAACTAATCCATGCCATCTTTGGGCAAATTCCTTAAAACTCTCACTTAATTTTGTTTCTGTCTTTTGAAGATCTTCTCTACTGGGAGCTAATGATGTATTGTATTCATATTGCTTCATGAAGTTGTGAGTCCAATCATGCCAACTCTTGACCTTAGTTTTGTCTAAAGTTGAGAACCAGGCATTTGCAGGACCTATTAGACTCTCTTGAAAGTAATGAATCGTTAAGTTCTCGTCATTAGCATAAGGAGCCATCTTCTTACAATATATTGTTAAGTGAGTATAAGGACAACCAGTGCCATTGTACTTATCAAATTCAGGCAATTTGAATTTATGTGGCAGTTGAATGTTTGGGAAAAAGCACAAAGATAAGATGTCCATTGGTTTAGTGGTTTGGACACCTTGCCTTGATTTTAGTGTTTCCTCCATCAACTACACCTTTGCTTTAATTGCCTTGTCTTCATCCTCTATGACTAATTTAACAACTTGTGTCCTAACTTGATCATTTTCATTAGTCTAAGTTGTGACAATATCAACATTTAGAAAAGTTGGGACAAGTGGTTTTGCTCTAGAAGCTCTAACAACTATCGAATTTGGAAGGTTGGATAACACTAGCTCCTTTCCAAGAGTTACAGCAAATGTGGCTGTAGAACCATTTCCTTCGAACAAAGGATTTGTTGTCAGAGGAGCCTTTGCGACCAAGGTTGCTTGAAGAGATTGGAAGGAAACCATTAGTTCCTTCAAAGTGCTCTCTACGTTTTCAACTCGATTTTTAAGAGCTTCTTTCTCTAAAAAATTAGCTTCGCCAGCCATCTTCTTTGCAAGAGCTCTAGTGAGAATAGGTGAATGAACTCTTGGATAATTCCTTTTAGGACCAATCTTTCAACACCTGAAGTATATGAGCATTATTAACAAATCATGGTTTTGACATCTTGAAAGATAGATTCCCTAACTTCCTCATAAAATCATGTTCTCAAACAATCATACTAATTATCCAAATTTATTTTACAAATGGATTCCTCATTGTTAAGGGTAACTTCAACCAATTGCTTGCAAGGAAAGGTGAAATGAAGCCAAATATTTGTCACACAAGCCAAAAGCATAAGGAGATTGCCTTTTTCATGACCTTTTCTTTTGTTGATTTTTTTAAAAGAAAAAGAAAAATAATGGGGAGGTTGCCTCCTTCATATCTTTTCCTCTCTTATATTAAGTAACTTGTTTTTTCTCAACAAATAGAATTCAAGAAAATGTGAAATTTGACTTCAAACTTTATTATTTTATTTAAAATTTTGAATTTAACAACTAATAAATAACAATCGTAAACTTTCATTTCTCTTTATTTTTTCAATATTCTATTATTTAAAGCTCATGTTTACAATATCCTTTTATCATCTTTGAAAGCCTTTCTACAAATTTTAAAGCTGCATTATGTTGATTTTTGGTGGAATAGTACACTCAACCTCAACCATTTCAAAATAGATTCCATTGATCAACTTTTGAATTCATTATTGGGTGATTAAATAACAATTGAAAATATTCTTCAATAGTGAGCATGAATTTAAACTCAAGAAAAACAAAGCAATGAAGATGCAGGACATAAAATCTTAGGATTACCCTAATGATTTCCTAGTCCAACTCTACTTGCAACGCATAAACTATTCTTCCAAATTTCTTTTCAAACCTCACTTTGTCAAGATTATTTAGACTGTTCCAAGTAGCATCCAAGTCTTTTACACAAGGTCTTTTGGTCTGCATAATCCATCCTTGTGTGACTTGTTCTTCTTGGATAACGGCAGATATTCTAACTCCAAATTCACCCTTTTTCCCTTATTGTCCTTTTTCTCCAAAGAATCTATGCGTAAAATAATCAATTACCTAATTATTAAAGAAAAGAAAAAGGAGAGTTAATAAATGTCATACCTCTTAGTTGAATTCCTCACCTAAGAAACACAAACATTATTTAAAAATAAAATACTCCCTACGTGTCCTATGTATAAGGTTCTTAAACTTTGAAAGTGGTTTACTAGGCTAGCTATCCTATGGTTAAGTTTTCATCTAAGTCCATTACATGCAACTTCTTAGTGGGTCCTATACTATTAGGCTTTTTCAACTGCTAACTTCCATAAAGTCAACAATTGCCACTTCCATAAAGTTAACAAGAGGCATTTCATGACCTATTATAATAGCAGCATTATGGTTGGCAGCCCATATTAACTCACAAAATGAGCCTAAAAGAGATAATCTCACTTCACAAGGAAAGCATTGCGTTTGGCATTGTTCCATGAGTTATCTAACTATCTAGAGGTTAGGTTCACCTCATCAAGGACAAAATGATATGCAAGTGAAATGTGAGAGGGAGTATGCACATAAAATTAACATATGAAAATAGCAAAAATATAAAATAACAAAATTAAAAAAAAAAAAATCTTACAAGGTACTCCATGCCACCTACAAAAAAAAGTTACTAATTGAAAAACCCCAAAATTAAAGTATAAATGGCTTGACCCCTTAATGGTCCCTAGTGGAGTCACCAAACTATTGACGTGCCAAAAAGGATGGAGTTGCCATCTATCCAAATGAGGTGGGATAGATCACCAAGGTCTATGTAAAGACTAACTAGAATTGGAGGGTCGATTAAGCGTGAAGAAGGTGTTAGGCACCTCACAACTTCCATATAAATATGGTTACCACATACTTTAATTTTGAGATATTTTCAATTTTTACCAAAAAAATGATTACCAAAGTAAACAAGAAATTATTTCAATCAAAGAAAATATAAAGCTTTATCATGAATTTTTTTTTTTACACTAAACAAGTTTCATGCTTCCCAATAAAAGTTTCTATTTTTTTTTTTATGCATTACTAAAAAAACATAACAGCAAATCCTAAAAAAAAACTTTAAAAAAAATTATAACTTGCTGAAATAATTCAACAAAGACTTTGGTTTCATCAAACGAAATAAACAAAAAAATATGCAACTAGAAGAATGGGAGGTTGAAAGAAAACTATGGAAAAAATCTTCAATTTTCACGTGCTTATCGCTTTACATAGAATAAGGGGAAACAAATAAATGAAGAAAACATGAATGCAACCAATGAATAATATCTTTCTTTAGATTGCTTGCAGACAAATCATAAAAGAAAAGATTAGTAGAGTCACCAAGAAACAACAGAGAATAAAGAAACAGATAAAGAATCGAGATTCACACTCCAAATTCTTCAATATTCTCAAATAAAAACACACTTGAGGAAATTGAGAAATTCAATCTTATTTATTTGCAGAAGACTTCAAAAATACAAGATTTCCTTGGTTTCTCCTCTGCCTCACACCCTTTGTGCCAACTCTCAATGCCTACTCTGATTCCTCACGACTTTCCTTTTTTCTTTTTCTTTTTTTTTGCCTTTTCCTCTCTATTTTTTTTTTTTTAGAATTTTTTGCTCACTTCTTCCCTCTCAATCTCGCAGCCTCTCGGATTTCTTCTCTCTTTCTCCATCTCGATCTCTCCCATTTTTTCCTCTCACCCTCAATTTCTTGAATGCCCCCCTTTAAAGTCAAAGGCCCCCTTTTATATAGAAATAGAGAAACTCAAATCCTTTTCTAATTCTAAGTACTAATGCAAATCCCTAAGATAACAACCTAATCCTATTTGGAATGTGAGTTCTTAGTTCTTCATTGATCTACCCATTTTCAAGTTTAGATTCATACCTTTTAGGCATTAAAACTCCCACCTTGAATCAATTTTGGACTCCTTGTAGTTGAGGACTTATGGTTTGTAGGTCTTATCTAAATCCTTCAATTCGCTAAGCATGGCTTTTGAAGAAATCTCCCTTGGCGTCGTGATTCACCCAAACTAAAGTTGATGAAAAAGGAAATTTGAGAAGGGAGGTACAACAAGAACAAATAGGGGCTAGGGTTCGACTGAAACCCTAACCCTTTATTTTTTTTTTTTTTTGGCCCATTGGCAAAACGACATTGTTTTGCCATTTGCTCCTCTCAACCCTTCAAGTTTCCAACCTTTATAAAAATAGTCCATTGACTTCCAACTTTATCAGTTTTAGCCCCTGACAAAAATTGGGTTATGACATATTAGATACATAAAAGTAATTTA